CAAGAGTTTGGCCTCATGATCGGATTATTGGAAATTTGGTTTAGGTCCAAGTCAGACCAGTAAAAATATAGACCAATTTACTTTAGATTGACCCAACCCAATAATTATAATGGATCGTCCAAATCCAATTTGATAAGGTTTGGATCAGATTAGATCCAATCCAAAACCAGTCAATTGACACCCCTATCTATTCTTACATGGAATAGGTATTTGTATGAGAGAGAGATAGAGAGAATTTGAAAATAATAGCAAAGACTCTATCCTACTGCTTTACAACATTCATGGGTCAAACTATTAACAATTTGATTTTTAAATCTGGTTTTAAAATCGTGCATGAGGCTGTATTTGGTTGAAATGCAAATTTGTTTGCACTGATGCAAAATTATGATAGTGCAAATGATTTTGGTGCAAATTATGATTTATTTTTATTTTTAAAAATTACCTTATTATTTTGTTTGATTGCAGTGCAGATGAAGTAAAATAAGACCCATGGCAGAATAAAGTAAAATTCAAAACAAAATTAAATCATAATTTGTATTTTTTTTCATTTGCACTCCCATACATTTGTACTTGTTTAAATAAAATTGCAACCAAACACAGCCTGATTGTGAAAATGGTAGTACTTGGAGAGAAGATTAAGGGTAAAAGACTTTTTCAGAAATCGACTTAAACACATTTTGATCTTTCAAAATAAACTTAAATATACCTTGTGGGCTGACCTTACTTGACTTAAATATACCCTTCAAAGCTCATAAAAAATTTTAAAATCCTATTTTGCCCCTCCCATGTTCTTAATATGAGACCTTGTTTTGAAAATTTAGAACTATAATTTCAAACTAGCATGACAGGAACAGAGCATCATAGTGAACGAATCTTATTTGAATATTCTTATTATCTAAGTGAATGCATCTTCTTTGAATTACACCATTGAAGCTCAAAATTACCAAAGACGTTCTTCCCTAAATCAATAATTAAAAAATCAACGCCACAAAAAAAAATGAAGGGTAAAGAAAATCTGAATCTCCACCATTGAGTGCACTCCATTACCCATAAAAAATCCACATTCACTCTTTCATATTCAAATTCATTATTGCAAACTTAAACACCAATAAAAACTTTTTTATCCAAATTATGCCATTGATAACTGAACTAAAATCACAAAGATTGAGAGAGGAGTGAGTGACATCCAGAGAAGTGACACTTTGGAATGCTATTTTAAACTCGAAATGATAGTCCTATGGTAGAAAAGGCCCCTACTAATGGATGAAAAACAGAGAAATTAATCAGTTTAAACTGACTTAAATGTAGCTGCAGAGTTGCACCTGCACTCGCGGGTAGCAATGGTAAAAGAATGAGGAAGAAAAGAAGAACAAAGAAAAACAAATGTAGAAGAGGAAAAAAATAAGGAGAGTAAAATGGGAAGAATGAGTAGAAATGGAGTTGCACGGCACGTTTGTCTCTTCTCTTCCACATTTGTTTCTTTTTCTTCTTTTCTTCCTCATTCTTTTACCATGGTACCCGCGAGTGCAGGTGCAACTCTGCACTTACAATGCTTTTTCATGTTTTGAACTGATGGTGAAAGACAAACACTCTTCCCATGTTAACATTTTTTTGATGTCAACATTTAAAAAATTTTGTTGGATAATGTTTTTAATTCTACTTTGAGGTTATTATTAGCATTTTGTTTAAAATTTCTACACAATTACAGGCCCAATAAGGTCTGCTTCAGAACTGGTTATACACATTTACACATTGGCAAGCACTATCTAATTAAAATTCCTTTAGGCTGTATTTGGTTTAAAAGATAGACTACCTTTCCCTACCTTTTCTTTCAAACCAAACACAACTTTATTGTTCTTCATTTTAACCCAATTTTACTAGGAAGGGAATACCCCTGTACTTTGACCTCTGCAAAAACCTTCATGCATGCTTTAAGTAAATATGCAAATGTGTAATGCTTTTTAAGATGAAGATTGATCGAATTACCCCCAAAAAGATGAACTTAAGAGTCCCCTGTTAGTATAAATTATAACTAACAGGGTTTAGTTATAATTTCATTGTCTCCATTGCATTGCAGGAAGGTTAACAGAAAGGGAGTGTTTGTTTATTTAGGCTGTGTTTAGTTTGAAGGAAAAAGTAGGAAAAGAAAAGGAAGGGTAAGAAAACCTTTACAAATCTTGAATGGGTTTCCCTATCTTTCTTTTCCTTTCCTCACCTTTTCCTTCAAACCAAGCATAGCCTTATTTGAAACATGAGGGCATGTTTACTATACATTGGCCATGCCTTCTTTTATTCTTTTCATAGATTGGATAATAATTTATAAACTTCTACTTCCAGGCCCCTCTCTCTCTCTCTCTCTCACAAGAGTAATAATATGGCAAAAGACAAGAGCTTACAATGTGGAATGTCCTTACTTGTCTAACTATTCATTCATGTGTCCCGTACTCAGAATTTTAGGATCCATTGTTTAAAGTGGTTCACAATCTGCTTTGAAATGCTCATGACTGTGAGTTTTTGTTGCATCCATTTTAACCTTTTTTTAACCATGAGGAACAATTATATTATAAGGGCATTATCCAATGTGAATTGTCTTTTTCTTATTGTGGCTTTCAAAAAGGATCCCATACTTGTTTTGCAAAAGAATTGATTCTTATGTTGTGGTTGTGCAGTGCAATGTATTTTTTATTTCAAAAAACTGAGGGTCCGTTTGGTTCATAATCGGAATGGAAATCAGAATCAGAATATTTGGTTCAAATAGGAATGGGAATGAGAATTAAAATCAACAGGAATGGAATTTCATTCCCAAGGAGGGCAAGGAATGGCTATTCCCTCAAATGGGAGAATGCCATTCCAGCAGGAATGGGAATGGGATTCCGATTCCACCCAACCAAACAGCAGGATTGGACCATTCCGATTCCGATTCCAGACCCCTATTCCTACAAACCAAACGGGGCCTGAAATCAGAGTACAAATGCAAATATGTACTGTGCAAATACATACAAAATAATGCAAAATATAAGGTTTTGCACTCTACATATTTGCATTTGTACTCCTTCCAAACTGAGCCTAAATTTCTGATTTCAAAAACATGCTTCCCCTCTAATATTTTGATATTAGATAGGGATTCTGATCAAATGGATGTTTCTTTTCGGAAGGAGTGCAAATATAAATCTGTAGAGTGCAAAATCTTATATTTTGTATTTGTATTTATATTATTTTCAGACTGAATCTTAAGGCAAATTTCTTAAAATACCCCTATGATTTAGGAAATTGACTAACTGTACCTTACCATTTATATATTGTCTCAAACTACCCTTAAGTTTTTTGATAGTTGACTACCTCTACCCCTACCGTTGGCATCTGTAAATGTTTCATTATAATCCGTGCACATGTGATAACACATGAATTATAATTTTTTTAAACCCAGTTATCCTTTTATGATCAATTTTACCCTCCTTTAGGTGGAAGAATCTCATTTTGGGGTATTTCTTTTTTGGGTCACCATATTATCCACCTTGCTGTTGATCAGAGACTACAGAAGCAGAAGCAAGAAGTGTGGACGAAGTCATCCTCCAATGTGGAAGCTCACTTCTTTCAAGAGGTTGGGATACACAGAGGCCTGGGTTATTCAGGAACGGAGGTTTGGATGCCAGTAAACTGCACATAGGCCTGGGTTATTCAAGAAGCTATTTTCGTAAGCCATGATGTCGAACTCAGTTGGAATCTCCCCTGTCGGTTATTGGAAGTGGTGGCCATGTTGTCGAAGAAAAGCTGCATCCTTTTAGGCTTAGGCCCCGTTTGATGTATTTTTTCATTTGGGCTGTCGGCTATTTAAATGCCTTCGTATTTTGGTCTTTTCTCATTTGATTGGAAAAATATTTTGCAGCCAAAAGAAGATGTCCTAAACAGACACGCAAAGCCTATTTTTGTATTTTTAAACAGACACGCAAAGCCCATTTTTGTATTTTTAAACAGACACGCAAAGCCCATTTTTGTATTTTTAAGAAGTTTCAAATAAAGTTTTTTGACTTTTTTTATCGTGTGAAGATACGCTTTAACTAAACGGCCTTTAGCTGCTAAGATCTTAATGTAAAAGCTTACATCATCTTTTAGCTGTCAGATTTGCCAGAAGATCTTGCATTTTAACAAACTTTTTTTGTTTATTATCACTAAAAAATTAGAATCTTTGGTCTTCTTTCACATTTTTTGCATTAAATTCACTAATCGGTTCAGCCCAGCCATTCATTGCATTGAGTCGTTGAAGCAGGAAATTGCATAATTTTTTGGGAATTTATTTACCATTTTCCCTTTCTATCTCTTTACGTAGAATACTTCAGTATTGCTTCTTCTCTTTATAAGTTTTTTGAACTCACCCCTGTTTGATTCAGCCGTGTCATGGATTAATATCTGAGAATGCGGGATTTTAATTTGTTCAAGTTTTATGCGACAGAGGTTCTTGTGGCCTTGGAGTACCTGCACATGGATTTTGTTTACAATTTTCTTGTTACAAAACAAATCACCTTTTTCTAGAGTCAAGAATCTAAAGCATCATTTGTGGTTAATAAACAATGAATTAAAAAAAAAAAATGATGGTTATTCCTTGGGAATTAGCAGAGGAGAAAAAGATAGGAAAGAAACAACTGTGCTAATGTTAATTTGATTAAAGGAATTGGCCAAGATTTTTTTTTTTTTTTTGAAAAAGAAGGCAATAACATGGTTCCATTCCATTAACCTCTGAGTAGCCGGGTTTCGGAAGCCGGAATCTTCTTGGACCCGACCCAATGCATTGAGAAAAAGGATGGCTATTTACATGTAAATCCTACCATGTAGAGGATCTGGACTCCAGAAAAAGGATGGCTATTTGATCAAACCCAGAAATACCTTCTCCATAAACAAAACAGAACAAAATTCACTCACTTTTGGAAGGGGAATGGGGTTAAGTCTATGATGCCCATCTTGAAGGCTTAACAAGAAAAATAAGAGCATTCAACAAAACACTAGAAGGAAGAAAAATGAAATTCTTATCATATCCAAGATACTAATCTGTGTTGATATTACAATGTTTCAATTATGCCACAAGAATCAAGTTTGAAACATCAAACCCTAAATACATTCACCGATATCAGCATTGCCGAAGCTCTTTACTTCAGCATTGCGATACCGTATCCTCTATAAAACTTCTCCGTGATCATATCTGAAGCCATGAATGCTCCAGCTGATATCTGCAAAACTAGTACCTCAATACAAGGACCCAAATAATTAATCCCATCCCTTCCCTCCTAATATCTATGTTCAAAAAGAAACTCTTTTCCATCCTTACAGCCTTTGTCTTCTAGACAAAAAATATTTGCTTAATTTTTCTTCCCTGTAGTTGTTTTGCTTAGTATCATTGTGTTCTATGACTCAAATTGCTTGCCTTCAAAGGTCTGTCCCAAGCTCCAATCTTTGGGTGCAACATTGTAAGACACAACAGTGACCCCATCACTAGTGGTGACTTCAAATGACAGTGGCTGGTTTTTCAAATCAGCAGTCACATGCCAGTTTTGCCCCCAATTCCTCCCCATTGGAAGCCACCCTGTTCTTGACGCCTTAATTTTCACAGCCACTACATCACCAGCACCAGCAACATTACTGATCAGCACCGAATAGAAGTAACCCGATCCATCAATCCGGAACCGGATCCCACCCTCCTTTCTGCACTTCATCCTGAAACCACCAAAACCAGTAATGCTTCATGATCAGAACCCTTAATTCTATCAACATTTTTTTTCTAAGCTCAACTAAGAACAGTACAGAAAACTTTTTCCTCTGAGGGGACACTTGATAACTGCTAAAATTGGTAGTGAAAATACTGAAAGAATCCAAACCCAAACATTCCTTGAATTAATCACCTCAATGCCTGTTCTTATATGCTGAACGAGGCATTTTTCAAATTTAGAGATTTTCAGCTCAATCAAACACCACCAAAATCCAAGTATATAAGTTAAGTAAATAAATATCCATAAAAATAAAATAAAACATATTTTGATAATGAAAAAGTATAAAAATGAAAAAAAAAAATAGAAACACTTCAAAATGGTTCCATACTTGCAATGAAAATTGAGAACCGTCCATTACAAAGATGACAAAATAGTTCTAGAAAAGGACAAAAAAAATCCAGTTGATGAATGATTAATGTCCTCTGACATCATCCGGCATTCAGCTCAGCTTTTCGTTTTTACAGCTATGCTGTTTGTACTTTTTCTTACCAAAAGTAGGCCCGATTCCGTGATGGTAAAGGCTTCAGTCGTCCACTGTCATTCGATTCTTCCCGGCTAAGAATATCAAGGGCAGGTTGGTCAATCCACGCCACAGTGACCAAAATACCCTTGAGTCATTGTATCTGAATGGGATAAAAGAATACTTTGGTCAAAGAATGTGGACCCCAGCAATGTACTTAATTCCTTTTCTTTCCCGTCGGCAACCGGTGTACTTATTCTGATCCAAGGGATGATTGATTTTTGGCACTGTTGGTTCACCGTAAATAAAGAATAGTAAAATCTCTGAATTTCCTGGAAAGTTCAAAGATGCCTCGTGCAGAAAGGGCCCACCACGTTAAAACAGTAGGATTTCAATGACAGAGCCATCTATACCGAGGAACCGAGGTAATGATGATTGATGGACGTGGAGACAATTGGCTCATTTCCAGTTAAAAGGAGAGAACCACTTGTTGAAGACTTAAATTACTAGAATACCCCCAAGTCAAAACATATAATAAGTCATTATAAAGGGTATTTTCGTCAGATAAAAGAATAGCTACGGTGTCCCTCCAGCGGTCCAGCCCCACGTTAACGAGGAGACAATAAACAGGTCGAGTACACTTTTCTCGTTCAATGCGCACGCTCCAGGCTCCAGCGACCGACCGGAGCCGGACGCGGATAGACGAGGTCGGGGTAGAGTTATCTTTGTTACCAAACGGGAAAAAGTTTCAGAAAAGCAAAGCATGGGGAGATCAATGACGCGTCTTTCCACAACATATAATGATGCGTAGATGGACATACTCTGGACATCTCCACTCCTTCCGACAGAACAGAACAGAAGTTCGAAGGCGTGATCGTTAACCCTATGAAGCATCAACGGGCAACCGAGGCAGCCGGTTTAATATTATTTTTTGCTTTCTATGACTAATGAGTCCTAACTTCTATGGTGGCTCCGGTCGGATCTCGATCCACGGTTCTAATCAACCAAGCAGATACAATGACCAAAGTAACCCTTTTATCCCCATTCAGGATCTCAGCCCGACCCCCCAAGTGGCGGCGATTGGCGAATCACCGCCAAAATTGAAGCGTCATAGAAGGGTATTCTGGTAATTTGAACTCAAGCAACCGACATGTGGCGAAAAACACGGGTCTGATTGGTCCAAGACTCTAACAAGTAACAATAAACAAAGACAATCGAACGCTGGACTGAGGAAATAATAAAAAAAGTACGCGCACGATAACGACCCTACGCACTCCTACCGCGTAAGTTAGCAAAAGAAAACGAAAGAATCCAACACCGAAGGCGGTGGTGCAAGTTGGCAAACAGAGGAGACAAAGAAGGAAGAGAAGAGACGGACTGAGGGAGAGGTGCGGTCTGCGGTGTGTACCTGCGATACTGAATGGGCATATTGGCAGCTTTCCAGATAGCGATCTTCTCGAAGGCCTCGATGGGGAGGACGAAGTGTTTGTTGGGAGGATTGCAGTGGCCGCCACCGTCGGACGGCAGGCCGTAGTTGGGGGCGCAGAAGTTGGTGACGGTGACAATGATGGAAGTCCCCGGGATGCACCATCGCAGGTCGTCGACGCAGCGGAGCTCGAAACAGGCGCCGCAGATCTGGCCACGCTCGAAGAGGGCGGTGCTCAGCCCGACGGTGGCCATGCCGTAGCCGCTCTTGACCAGGTCCCCGTAGCCGCAGGCTCCTCCGACGTCGTCCCTAGGGTCGGACGCGGCGTAGTAGGTGGCGCGAGCGGATCGCCACTCGGTCATTGTGGATGGAGAGGAGGAGTATGAACGTGGGGATGCAGAAGAGTAGACAGCATCAGCTACTCTCCATGACAGGACCACTGCGTATAGAAATGGTAATGTGTGAATGAGTTTTGCTGACATTTTTGTTTGTGCTCTGTTTCCCTGCTCTTTCTTGTTTTAGTGGTTTCTGTATTTTGTGTGTTTCAGAGAGAGAGAGAGAGAGGGGCAAGCACTAGGGTCTAGGGACTATAGGAAGCTTCGAATCGTGGGTTTTGAGGTTGATTTAGTGGATGGGCTTGGATACTTGGGCTTATAGCTTTTGGTCCACTGGATTGACCCATTATTCTATTATAATTATAAAGGCTTATCAGTATTATAAGGCGGTTAAATGGGTAGGACGAGGTGGACGGACCTGATTTGACCCGACAACATCACAGCTGGTCTGGTACTAAGTACTAAGTAACTACAAACCTGCTCAGCCCACTAGCTGGATATGGGCCCTGCTTCACGTACCTGATATATAGATGCTGGAACAAGATTGGCTGATTGGTAAGGTTTGCAGATGGGTGTAGCGGAGATTGGGATTGAATCCTCTTGCACTGAACTGAGCAAGGATTAGATGGGATCCGTATTTTTACAGCGGGTTGTGGAACGAATGATATAGTGTCCATGAATTTATCATCGGATTCACATCAACATTTGAAGAAAGATCAGTGATTTTTTTTTTTTTTTTCTGTTTGGTTGGCTAATTATGCCGATTTTTGAGAAATCAGCAAAAAAAATCAATCCTTAAAATCGGCCTGAGTGAGGGATCATCGTAACATTCGATGATTTCCCGATTTTCAGGCGATTCTGAATTTTGTTGGGTGAGGTGGCATCCTGTGTAGTATGGGTGAGGTGGCATCCTGTGTAGTATGGGCGAGGTGTGCTTTTATGCTTAAAAATCAATACCAAACATTCTCAAAAGTGATTTCTAAAATATTGGTTGATATGGAGGAAATGATACCAAATCACAAAAAAAGATAACTTTTGGAAAATCATTGATTTCAGTAATCACTGATTTTCAAAAAATCAGGTGTGAGGTATCATCACGGATGCCAAACATCACCCTTATTATTGGTTCTACAGCCCACTGAACAACCATCATGTTCAGCTAATCCGTATTCATTGGGGATTATAGATTTCGGAGATGAGATACCCTTGTTGTGGAGCCCTATGGTGCAAAAATAATAAAAGTAAATCTCTTAAATTACCCTTAGTGTTCACGAAATTGACAAATTGTACCCTTACTGTTTACATATTATCTTAAGCTATCCTTAAGTTTTCTGATAATTGACAAGTCACGGAAAAAAATGAAATATTGAATTTGTTTTTCATTATTCATCAAAATTTCAAAATAAAACTTAACTGATGAAAAACCCCTGATTTTCATTTTTTTTCAAATAGAAACAAGGGTTTTGCAAAGAGGGACACCATACTCCTGTCCCACCCATTTACAAGAAACTTACACAGTGGAGCCAGCCCATATCGTTCTTCGCTATCATGGGTTTCCTTGGTGAAGATCTTCATGTGCACCATGCAACGCATTAACCTGTGCAGATGTCGACCGGTTGCACAAGAATTTGAGCCCCCAGTTCAGAGAGCGTATGGTCCTCCACGAATCAAATCTTCAACCCAGTTACATATACTTTGATAAATGCGCTTGGCATCAAACTGTGTGAGCCTCCAGCGAACTTTGACCCATCAACAAAATCTCCCTTACATTCAAAAATATCCTGAAGAACATTTTGGCTCAAAAGAGTGTAATGAGGGCCCCTCGTCTCCGTGACTCTATACCTCCCATTGCTGGAAGGAAATCTTGTCTCCGACGCTGGCGATGGTGTCAGTATTGACCCCTGTCTCCGTCTATCTATGCAGATATGTTGATTCACCTAGCACTTGAAAAGACCAAATCTTCCATACATTTAAAATTATCTTGAAGAACATTTTGGCTCAAAAGATTGTAATGAGGGCCCCTCATCTCCTGTGATTGCAGGGCTTCAGTTGTTCGTTCCTTTCCTTCTTTTGGAGCATCAATCAAATCAAAGTGGGGGCCTTGATGGGTACTTTACTAGTGGCATGTTTGTTCACCAATTGTACAGGTGAGAGTTTTAATTTCTTGCAAAGTATCTATTCAATTATATGATCTAATCTCTTTATTCTCTCTGAATCCTGATATGGGTGTATGTGAGTTGTATTGCAGGGGTCTCTAGAGCTCTTAGCGATCCCATTGGCACTGCTAGTTCTTAACGATACCAAAATCACCACCACCAATGCAACTTTCAACAATGGCAATGAACAATAAGGGTATTGTAGAAATTTTAAAGTGATATCACATGTGATTGGAACATGATGAAAAATTAATGACAATGGAGGTTTTAGACAATTGTCAGAAAACTTAAGGATAGCTTAAGACAATATGTGAATAGTAAAGGTATATTTTGCTAATTTCATAAACAGTAGGGGTATTTTAAGATATTTACCCTAATAATAATAATAATAATAATAATAATAAATATATAGGAATATGAACAGACCCAATACAGCTTTCTGATTTCCACTGCAGCTATAAACATTCAAAATGTCAAAAATCCTCACTCTACACACCAATACCCATCCGTGAATTGACATCAATTCCGAACTGGCACCCACCCCAATTGTAATTTAGGCCTAAAAATTTTGACCCTGGACTGCACAGTCATTCTCCCTAATAAATAAAACTTTGTTTGCTTTTATTTTATGCTTACATTGCATCACACAGTAATAGTAATCAGTGCAGGTGGGTCCCAAATAAAATATTCCAAGTATATAATGTAAAATGGATTTGTGAGGAAAAAAAAAATTAAGGATTCACCTATAGTATCTGAAACATGTGATATCTGAAAATTTTTTGAACAATCAACTAGTATGATATCATAAATGTGATAGTCAATCAGATGTTATTTATCAAAATTCATAGATGGATTTGATAGACAATGTCTATGACATTCTTACTAATAATTTTCTATTTTACTGTCATTCTTATTAAGATTATAGTATCAATAAAAGAAGCTTTAAGTTCTTATTAACATAGATAATCATGCATCAATAAAATCGGGTCAGACATGATTATTATCCAGATTAATATTAATTGTGACGGTTCTGGGTCTATTTTGCCCCGATTAATAAAATTGGTCGAGTCTGGTACACCCTGTTGCAAAGCAGACCCGACCCATTGATAGTCCTCTAACCCTATATGTGGTCCCTATTTTGTAACAAGGGAAAATTAAAATAAAAGAAATGAGGTTTGTTTGGATGGTTATGGGAAGTTAAATGATGTGAACTCCACTTTATAAGAAAGAGAATGTAAAGAGAAGGAAGGTTATTTGTTTGGGAGTAGTGAAATATGAAATAAAGTGATGTGGTCCTTTATATGACATAAAATTAAGGAAGAATGTGATGCAAATTCTGCATCAGTTTTTGAGAAATTTATACCACTTCAGGTTAGCTCCGCAATCACAGCCTTAGCTGTGGCATATTGAGTAGGACTGGCAATCTTGACCCCAATCCAATTTTACAATTTATATGAACCAATTTACACTCTACATATTTGCATTACACACTCCATATGCTGCAGCCTGCAGCTTTAATTTACATTCATGTCATGGATAATTGGATAGCCAACCAACAAGCATGTGATTACACAAAAAGACTTGAAAGCATCTGGGATTGGCTCTAGTTGTTTGAGATGATTGGATAATAATGCTTTGCTTGTCGTGAAAATGTACATTTTACAAAGACATTGGAGGAAAATTACTTGCCTTTCATCTTTCTCTTTAGAAACCTTGTGTAAGTGCAATAACTCGACTAACCAAAGGTGGAGGTAGTAAAGAAACAGCTGACTGAATTTCCTGATAGATTGCAACCATGCAAGAGCTGAATTATGATAGGGTATAGATTATAAGAGACATAACATGATGGACTTGAGGCCAATACCACCTTAGACAGGCCCACTGACTCATTGATCTGGACTGTTATATCAGAGGAAGCCACCCCTTTGATGTGGCACAAGCCCAAGACCAACTTGAGGATTTTCTGATTTTCTCCTCTCATTTTACAGGTAAAACTTGGAGTCTAAATGTAATAAACTAACATAAAAAGGAAATAAAACAGATAATCAGAGGTTACATAAGGTTTGGAATATACCACAGTCAAGAGGCTTTCACTCTAACTGTCTAAAGAAACAAATCTGTGGGATGCATGGCTGGAGAGGTAGGCCCATGATGAATACAGAAATAAATTTAGCAATCTAATAGAGACTCAAGTGCACTTGGTAACGAGTTGAAAAGTGGATTAGATGAATAGCTTGGTTCTCGAACTTATCTGCGTATTTAACTATCTGCAAATTAATCAAAATACATAAAGAAAAGAGAAACAATTAAGAGACCAAGAATTCAAAGGTTTCCTTATTACATCAAAGATACAAAATACAAAAGGGTTCAATTATCTGGTTCAGAGATTTGACCTCAGACAAATGAGTATGACCATAATCTCTTGCACCACCTACTGTCATTGAATTGTCAAAAAGGTGCTCCACATGAGAAGGAAAGGAAAACTGTTTTGAGTATACGATCTTGGAATTTATAGTGTTCTAAGTATATAGTCACAAGGGGACCAGGATGTACATTTTTCATGGTAGCAACGGTGGACATGCATTTCATTTAATAGTCATCCATTGTTATTTACAACCTAAGGGTGTGTTTGTATAGACTTTTGTTTTTGTGTTTTAAAAAGACTATGAGCAGAAGCTTGCATTTGGGCTTTGACTGTGTACTTTGCAATGTGAAGCCCATTTGCTAATATGGGTTTTCAGAACAAGCCCGAATCTCCTGCCTACATTTATCGTAGCCACACATGAAGAATATCTCATCCTCTGCCTGCAGGGGGAGATGTTCCCAATTCACGGGGTAGTGTATTTTGGGTAGGCGTGGGCAAGATTCTCATGAACAGGAGATGCAGAGAACATGCTTCTTACAATAAAAAGTATGAATAGGAATTCAGATACAGTGATCAACTTCCATACTTTGACATCAGACCACACATTTATTAACCATTCAGAAATGCAATTTGGAAATCTCTAAAAGCCACAAGGTACAGACATAATATGACATTATTCCTGTACTTTCAAAACTCCATGTGTCCTTTACAAGTTTGCCTCGTGGCATCTCTAATTATGCCACATGTCATGCAACTATGCATTTTTCTATTTAGTTGATCTTTCTTCCATATGGCATATCTTTGAGGTTTAGAAGCTTTGTAGGTAAACCAAAGAGTGGCATATGACCCACACATAACATGCTGGCTTTGGACTTTTGTACTTAGTGAATTACTTTAAAAAAGTTTACACAAACAGGACTTAATATGACCACATTAACATTCCAATATTGTTTAGCTTACATGACAAGGTGATTGCTTTTGGGTGTCACTTTTTTTTTTTTTTGTCAGCAACACAAAAATCGATTCATTAAATTAAAATGAAGACATACAACAATAAGTTGTGGGCAGAAACTTTTGGGTGTTACTTTTTCTTTCTTTTCATTTCTCTTTTTACATCCTAACAATCAACTTCTCTAGATCTTTGAAGTTTCTCTTCCCGTGCCCGTTTGTGTCTGAGGATCCAGAAGCTTAGATATCATAGTGAGTTTTACAAGATGGTAAATAATCAGGAATCAGTGTTACAAGATGCTAAACATCCCTACAAGGTTGTTTGTAATCTTAAAATGATCTTAAAGATTGCTTTTATCGTTTGGATGGCAGTGCTGAAAACGCTTGACAAAAGACAATCTAATTAAATGAGGTCTGGATATCTTTGATACCAGCCTCATGCTTTGTAATTGCAATGAGCAGTCTGTTAATCACTTTTTTTATTTTAAACGTTTATTTATGCATTTTTACTTTAAACGTTTTCTATTTTTTCTTTTTTTTTACTTTAATTATTTTCTGTTTTTGTTGTTTGGTTGGATTTTACTTTAAATGTTTTTTTATTTTCCATCTCAGATTAATACCCATTAAAATATGACACATCAGCATTTGGTTTCAAGAAATGCTAGGGTATTGAAGGAAATGAAAATTTGACATTTCCCCAAATGCCCCATGCACAAAAATCAAAGCGTTTCAATTTTTTACCATTTATTTTATAAACGATAAAACCAAACAGTTGTTTCATTTTGCTTCATATGCAATAAACGCCAACACTCATGTGATGCTGATGTAGCAACATTCTTTCAATAAACGCCAATGGAACCAAATACATAAATTGTCTTTTTTCCTTAGACTGTACATAGAATTGGTTGTCTCCTAGGTCTGTAAATAAAACCCCTTGGAGAACAGGTAATTGGAGGCCTCCTGATGTCCTGATTTGGACTCTTTGGGAAGATATGGTCTTTCTTTGTATTTTATCAATTTTTGATAAAATGTTAAAGGATAGATTGGAGATAAAATGGTCTCATAAAATGATAAAGGATAGATTGGAGATTTTGAAATATTTATACATACACATGACCGTCACATGAGAAGTTAACTAACAGAATGCTAAAAGGGGTAAAGCGGTGGAATCTAAAAGTTCAGGGTGGATCTTTATTTCAAATGAAAGTTGTGGGGGCAAATTTTGACTACCCAAAGTAGATGGTGGTAGATTGAAATTCACCCTACAAAAATAAGGCCACTTTTTTTGGGTTAAAGAAAATTTATTGAAGGGTTAAATTAACTACCCTAACAAATATAAGGCCATTTCTAAGAATTACGAAATTCTACCTAAATAATTCACTAGATGCTATTGAAAATTGGTTTCTTGGGAGACAATAGATATTTGCATAAAATATAAAAGAAAAAACAAAAAGAATTCAGATGCAATCCTCAACCTTAAATTGCAGAAACAAAGGAATGAACAGAGTGGCACACTTATAATACAAGCAAGGGTTGAATTATAATAGAAAATAGTAAAAGATAAACCTGGCACACTAATATAGCTCTGAGGGATACGATATGCAAGAGAGATTAGTTAAGAGTTGACAAGAGCTGCCAAAGCGCAAAGGTGAGCAGGGTCATATCCCTTGTATAGGTTTTCTTACCTTTTCCTTCAAATTAAACATAGCCTAAAGCTAAAGGCCCTACATTAAGACACTTGGCACCCATATATTAAGACAAGGTTAATAATGAATGGTGATTTGGCCCGATTTAGTAAAAAGAGAACACGTGGACATGACTTGACCAAGAGATGACAATTCAGCCTGACAAGCTCAGTTTGCAACAATTTAACTCGCATATTCAGTCACCTCGGCACAAAGGCCGCCTTGGCTTAAGGCTCACCTTGGAGTAGGGCCACTTCGGTA